TACATCTACAGTTGCAACGTTCCTGCAGGCAAATACCTGCAGGTACAATAAGTACAAACACGCACAGCAGGAACAGGAGGACAGTATTTTTAATGTCAATGTGGTTTCCTTTATGTTAAACAGCTCTGTGCAAGAATAATGATGAGATAATATGAAAACCAGCGAGGGAGACATTCCAGAGCGAAAGGACAAAAGGAATTAAACTAGCAGAAAGAAACACATCAGAAAATTAAGTTTACATAAAATTTATCTCTATTTAAAAAAAATATTGTTTAAATTTGCTGTGGAAGGCTGTCAACATTTTTAATACTCAATGATCTTTAGATACCCCGATGTCTAAAACGAAACAACCTCTGTTATTTTAATGGTCGATAGTATTAAACTTTTTTTTTTTTCATAAAACAGGTACATAGGAGTGGATCAATCCATCAAAAATTGCAGACAAACAATGTCTAAGTTGCACAAAAACCCTGGCACGATTTTGGTACTGCAATTTAGACAGTGTTCAGTTTTTAATTTTGAGTAATTAAAAACAAGAAATTTCCCAATATTGGGTGCAAGGGCTTCTTTTTTGTCACCGTGCTGTATCTAAACAGGCAACCCTACTTTGGAGCCAGTTATACTGAATTCACCCCTTTAAAGGTTTTTTTTTTTAATTGTTTGAGCTGTTACAATGAGGTGGATGACAGATCAATCGTCCTCTGAAGATCTCTGATGTTCGGCGATGTCGTGAGGGAGGGAAGCTGTGAGTCACCTGAGTCGGGACGAGAAAGTTTTTCTAAAACCACAGCAGAGAAAAAAAAAACACTTTGAATCAGTTCTCTTTATTAGTCATCTGTGGAGCAATCTAACCTATCTGATGTTACAAAACTTACATCTCATAATACAGCCAGCGGTTTAGACTTTCCACACCAGATTCCTATTAATACATTTGAGATTGAAACTTGATTAGGATTTTAGTTTAATCTTTGACATTACGTTGTTACAGACGGCAAATCTATTGCCTGAAGGGCTTTTTCCCATTCTATAGAGTCAACAATAGTCATACGACATCATGGATCAATTTATTGATGATTGTATATTTCGACCAGTCATTTAGAGTGTTCAAAAATGACACTAAAAAAACTGTAAGTGAGCTCTCCAGATTTCTAGTTTTGTCAATAGTTCAAAGATGTTTAAAACTGTTGCAGTCAAGTTTTTCTTAATGAACTTGGGATAAGAATGAGTCTGAATTCTCAACTTTACTGCTGGAGGAACTGATTCATTTCAACATTTTCTTTTTGGGTGAATTTTAGTTTGACTTTGACTTTGGAGTTCTTTATTTTGGTTAAAAAGAGCTGCTGCTGGAAGATATGATCTCTCATTCTTCAACACGGCTGCCAGAGATAGTTTGCCTGTTTGAAGTCTTGCGCTCCTCTAAAAGACAAATCTTGTGATTTTATGTGAAAATGTCTCGTTAGAATTAAATCACATTTGTTGTTAATGGTTCAGTTTTTAGTGACACAGATATTTTTGGGAAAGTGGGGATATTTTACGAAAGAGAGAACAATTTGCAGAAGTGGGGACATATTTGACGTTTTAGGACTATCGGGACATTTTTAGAAATTGTTGGTATTTTGGAAAAGCAAGAACATTTTAGTCAAGTAAGGATATTTTGGGTGAACTAAATGTTGTGACATCCTGGAAAAGAGTGTCAAACATTTTGGTGAGGATGGGGACTTTTTAAAAACATTGGGATGTTTTAGAAAAGCAGAGATTTTTTTAGTCAAGGATAGTTGTGGAAAGCAAAAGTGAAGACTTTAAAGTCTGACATGTTAAATGTTTTCTGTGTTTCAGATCACTAACTACCAGGGTCCGGCCCGGGTGGTGGTACAGCTGGTGACGGCGTTGACCCCTCTCCCCCAGCTTCATGCTCACAGTCTGGTGGGGGAAACAGTGTGATAAAGGGATCTGCATTGCTGATTTACAGCCCAAAGACTCAAACATCAGGTCTGCAGGACACACTCACACTCTCCAGTGAATCTAGTGCAATTCAGCTGCCAGGTTCAAGACTTACAGGTTTTGTTTTTGTTAGTTTTCCAAACCTAGGTATACTTCATGTGACGAAGAAGAACGTTGCAAAGACTCTGGAGGAGAGGATGATCGAGGCCTACAGGATGGGACACAACTGTGGAGTCTCCATCCACCCCGATATTGATTCCCTGCAGGGGGAAGTCCGAGTCTCCCGAGAGCTCAACGGTCAGTCCTGTGTGTGTGTGTGTGTGTGTGTGTGTGTTCCTGTTCAGGTATCTTTGTGAGGACCTTGTGAAGAATCAGACTGCAAGAGGACAAGTTTCAAAGAGGGAACATTGTTTAAAAATTAGGACAATTTATGAAACTGGGGATAATTCTGGACATTTCTTACACTCGTTCAAAGTCAGGAACCTTCTTCAATGTGAAGAATTTTTGAAAAGTAAAATAAAATTGGACTAATGAAAACTATTTGCAGTGAGGTTTTCAGAAATTTAGGATGCCTTTTGAAATTGTTAATGTTTTTGGTAACTGTTGAAAAATTATTTTTTTTTATAGAAATTGGGCACATTTTCTATAAAGTCAGGACATTTTTGAAAACATGGGACATTTTTGGAAAGTAAATCATTTTTTGATATACATTTTTTTGGAAAGTTTTTTGGAAAACAATTTTAGAAGGAGGATTAGGGCCACGTTAAAAAAAATATTATTTTTAAATTGTGAGATTAAACTCGTAAATTTACGAGATTAAACTCGTAAATTTACTAGAATGAAGTCGTACATTTACAAGATTAAAGTCGTAAATTTACTAGAATAATCTCATAAATTAACGAGTTCGAGACCAGCCTACGCAAAATGATGAAAGTTGAACTCTTAAAGTATTTTCCTCTGCAGACATCTTCCTCAAAGTCAGGGTGGTTCTTTCTTCGGAAAAGCCACAGTTTCTTGCAGTATCTTTTCAGGGTGCTGATATTTTATGACAATGTGAAAATGATGACGTACCAAAAGCATGTGTAGTTTCAAGGTCTTGCAAGTTGAAGTGAAAACTTCTCTTGAACTGTTTTTACCTTCTACACAAGGAAGTAGCCTATTTCCTTATTAGTGAAACCTTTAGGTCAAGATGCTCCAACAGGATGCTGCTGCTCTTCTGATATAGACTAAAATAACGACTTTATTATTTTATTCTTTAAAGACTTTAAGAGTTCTACTTTCATCATTTTCGCGCAGGCTGGGCTCGAACTCGTTAATTTACGAGATTAAAGTCGTAAATTTACGACTTTAATCTCAAAATGTATTATTATTTTTTTAACATGGCCCTAAACCTCCGTCGTAGAAATGAGCAACATAGGAGTATTTTTAAAGATATTTTTAAAAGTAAAGACATTTGAGAAAGTTAGAACTTCTGATGAAATTGGGACAGTTTGAGAAAAGTTTAATCAATGAGGTATAATCTTGTTTTTAAAAAAATGGGATAACTACCTATGTGTCAGTCATCTTACCCTACAAACCATGAACCTTTTTCTTCTTATTTCTGTCCTTTACATATACCTTTTTGTTGTTGTTGCATTATATTATTTGTACGTATGTCCCTCTCCCTTCTGTCTTCAGATCACCAGCGCAGCATGATCAGCTCTGCAGCCGCTCTTCAGGCTAAAGAAATGGACCTCAGCGTAGTTCGGCTCATGTTCACAGCGTTCCTCCTCGACAGTGACGGAGGTTTCTCCAGACGATTGGAGCCCGTCGTTTCTGAACCGATCTACGACAGCAGTGAGTCCAAACACAGTCACACATCCTCTGCAGTCTTACCATTCCTACCAGTCCAGCTGTTTGCGGCGTTGCGAAAGTGGGGGAAAAAATATTGAAACTGTATCAGTGATTTTTTCCCCCTGTATTTTATTTGTCATGGGCCTGTAACATTGAGCTATGAACAAATCCCTCTGAAGTGTTCAATCTGAATCTTGTCGTGTCGTGTTGCCTGGTTTCATTTCCCTCTTCCTGCTCTGTTGGTTTCCGTTAGTTGCAGCTTCCTCTGTGAGGACTGAAACCCGCTCAAGGTTCAAGATCCTGCAGCATGTTCGCTTTAAATTCAGATTCAGGCTGCACGTTTCTGTCTCCAATTTTGATTGACTGATATTTGTAGCTTTTGGTACGTGACTTTAAGACAAAGTGTTTTTTTCTGTCCAGTTGTCCCCTAGAAGCTGCTCTCGGTCATTACAGCAAAGTGTTGGACAGAATGTATATATGATCTGTTCTTGAAGTAAACGTAGTTCGCCCAGAGAGTGGTGTTAGAGAAATATTTTTGAAATGGAAAAGGTTTGTCCTCTGGAGAGTAGGAATTAGATCAGTAATTATTTTTATTATTATTTGATCACAAATTTAACTCATCACTTCTAGGAACATTTTTATTTTTTAGCATGTTGTAGCCACAGTTTGGATTATTTCTGTCAGCGATAACTTGTGGAACTTCTACCGACCTTTGAGAAGGTTCAAGAAGTCTTAACAGTCAATAACTCCATATTTAGTTCATCTGTTCTTCATGATAGATTGCTCACAATAAATCGTTCTATTGTAAAACCCTTGAATGTGTCATGTGTCTCTTTCCCCTTTCTGCTGCAGAGCTACGTTAACAGAAATAGCAAGAAACCTTAAAGCAGCACTGATTGTCTATAGCAGTGTTCAGACTGCTCACTGTGATTCTTTTTGTTCCCCCAGAGGCTCCCAACGCCTCCAACCTGAAGATTGTGAGGATGGATCGAACTGCCGGCTGTGTGAGCGGAGGAGAGGAGGTCTACCTACTCTGTGACAAAGTCCAGAAAGGTGAGTCACCATGGTCACGGATTTTACAGAAACAGTGCATGTACATAGCAACAAGAAATTGACCGTTGACCTCTAGATTTAGCTTTTTGTTGAGACACTGATGACTCGAAAGTTCGGAAAGGTTTACAGTTTTATTACATCATGAATGCTTGTTCTTCATAAAAAAGACTTTCAGTTTGAATCAGTTCACGTGTAAACATTTCATCGGCTTTTAGAAAGTCCTGCTGATGTCATGAGAAAATAAAGTATTTTTATTTGTCAGCTGATATCTCCCCCTGCTGGACACTTTGCTAATTGAAAAGGCACATTTAGTGATCTTATCGATGATATTCTCTGTAAATATGATTGTTCTCTTTGTTAACACTTTAAACCCACGACAGCCTGAATTATAAACCAAAAGGGCTTTTTTAGATTTCTTTTTTGTACCACTTTGACAAACTGTGTCCGAAATGAAGTTATAGATACGTTTTGGTCTCTCTTCTCAGGTTATTGCATGAGGTTGGATTTTCAGGAACAGGTTCTGATCTGGTTTGTCCACCTAATTAAGCAAACGCTTGAATCCATATGACCCAAAATAGACTGGATCAGGTTCAAAGATCCTTATTTGAACCAAGTCGACCTAATAGGATACAAACTCTTAGATATATTGTATATGACATTTAAAACATTTAGTTCTTTTTACACACGCAGGTTGTCAAAATGCTCGATACTTTGATACTTTTCGATACCACTGTTTTGAAACTGTACAATCTCAAGAGGAATGAATCAATCATAACAATGGAAGGCAAACTCCAACATTCTGTTTAAAACACACAAATACGTTTCCAACATTTCTGTATTACTGCAATTTAGACCGTGTGCAGGAGTTTGCTTGCAATTTCTGATAACTGGATATAATTATCCAATATTGGGTGCCTAGGACTTCTATATATGTTGCCATGGTATCAAACAGGAAACAGTGTAGTTTGACTTTTAGTAGAAACATGTTGAAGTTTAAAATTCCAGCATCAAGACAACCCTTACATGCTTGAAGCAGCTGTAAAGAAAACAACGTGTTTCCATCTATTGTAATGCATTCTATGCCTTCTGATCATTATTAGAACCTAATCTGCTTTTTGAGGTCTTATTTGAATGCAGTGAAGTGAATGCAATAAAAGATATGACTTTTCCTGGTTGGAGCAGTTTTGGAGCTTTGTTCTGCTGGAGGAAGTCCAGCTTCAGGGGAATTCCCCTCTGATATGTAAATCCCTGAGGAGGAAGAGATGATTATTTTTAAGTCCAGCTTCTGTAGTCTTCTTTTTCTTCTTTGTTTGTTTTGGTTAGTTTGTTGTTTTTGCAAAGCTCACAGAGGTTAAAACTTCAGTCTGCTCAACAACAAACGACATAAGCAGCTCAAAGACTCACAGATCCCTGACATAACATACAACAAGCATTCCTAGAGAGCAACAAACGAGGGGAAAAAAAGACCCTCTGGTCTGATTAAATGTTCATTATAATGATTATTAAATATGTATACTCTTTGTTGTGTGTTTCTAGACGACATTCAGGTTCGGTTCTATGAAGAAGACGACAATGGGCCAACCTGGGAGGCTCTGGGAGATTTCTCTCCCACAGATGTTCACAGACAGGTCAGTACGACGAGGTAGCGGCCCTCTGTTTATACTTGTTGATAAAGGTTATTTAGTCTAGTAAGGAGAAGTAAATCATGCTTAGCAGAGGTAGCACACTGGAAAAAGTCAAATCTAAGCATGTGAGTTTTACTAGCTGAATTAGTTAGAATATCTAATCTCAAGACACCCAACAAGCTTTGTGTTTTACAACTGTAAATAAGATCTTTATCTGGACTTCTCAGGTGAATGTGGCTTAAAATAAATATAACTTTGATTACAGATTAGACAAATATACTTGCTTAGATTTGAGTATTTGTGGGCAAGGTAAATCCAGTATCAGATTTTTATATTAATCATACGCCCTATTCACACAGAATTAGTATTACCTGGGACCTTTTTTTTATAATAATAATAGAGGACGTCTGTGTTTGTGCGAATCAACCATGTCTGTCATTTGTAAAGAAAAAATTCAAGGGCAATTTACCTACCATATTTCAGCAAACACAGTGATCCTCAAATGCCCGTTTAATGTGAGGTGCACTACATTGCCTCTTAAAAATTTAAGAAGACAATCACAGCCCCGCAATTCTTTCTATCAGAAATCCGACTGAATTACAGATTTGCTTATTCAGTGGGAATGCACAACACCAAACACTGACTTTGTCGTGGGAAAAGGGCTTTAGTAGTTCTAGTATAAGTATAACCAAATATTATATTAACAGTACTAGGTCAGTAGCTGTACAGTTGCTGATGTGTTCTTTGTCTTCAGTTTGCCATCGTCTTCAAGACTCCAAAGTATCGAGATCAGAATCTTCAGAAGCCAACGTCTGTGTTCGTCCAGCTGAAGAGAAAGTCTGACAACGAGACCAGCGAGCCCAAACCCTTTACCTACCACCCACAGATCATAGGTGAGTCAGACAGCACCCCATCAGATCACAGGCGAGTCAGAAAGCCCCGCCCACAGATCATAGGTGAGATATTTAGCTGCTCCCCGATATCATAGCTAGGTATGTCAGGTTGACGAGTCCCTGGATTTAAGCGAGGTAAGGAAGCTTGGCCAGTAGAATCAGAGAAAGTCAGGAAGCTGCACAGAGAGGTCAACACTGCCCCCTATTGAATCTTCTTCTTACAAACCTGCTGAAAGGTCAAACACTGCTCTGGTGACATCAGACCTTTCTTTTACGAATATATTTGTGTGCTTTTTTGTGTTTGCAGATAAGGAGGAGGTGCAGAGGAAGAGGCAGAAGACATTACCAAACTTCCATGACTTCAGTGGTCATGGAGGGGGAGGGGGAGGAGGAGGAGGAGGTCTGTACCGAGGAGGAGGAGGAGGTCCTGCAGCAGGAGGAGGACCAGGCTCTGCAGGAGGAGGAGGTAAAATCAGCAGGGGTTACTTTAGGGTTTGTTAAACATGGAAAAATATTAACAGCTTGGAAATTTGAGAAAAAAGGGTGAATATTAAAACTTTCTGACATGAGTCCATAATGGCTAATGTTGTTTTGATTCGTCCTCCAGGTTACTTTCAGGGCTTCAGCACCTACAATTATGGTGGAGGAGGAGCAGGAGGAGGAGGGTTTTCTACAGGATACTCAGCTGGGCTGGGAGGAGGAGGCGGAGGCGGAGGCATCAAACATGGTGAGATTAAGAATTTTCACTCGTGCCAAGATCAGATTTTTTGGTCAGATCACATTTATTTGTTTGGCTGTTCACACTGCTTTTTTAAATGTGACCTGTATTAGACTCCTTTGGGAATCCACATAGGATATCTCAAATTAGATTTTAAAAGATCCGATTCCATGTGACTTGTGCTGTTCACACTGTCATAGAAAAGTCAGATCTCAGACTCAGTGATGAGTGATAGACAGAGACAAGATGTTTCAGGGATGTGCACATCCCTTAAACATGCTTAATGTCATCTATACATAATGTCACCATACTCTCAGACTGACATAGAAACTGCCTTCACAACCCTTTTCCAACAAAACATAGGAAATATTGCTCTGTTTTTTTTTTGCCTGAGTCAGCCTATAAATGTCTTAATATGGGAGTCGATTGTTCGTTTTTCATCAAATAAAATGAGAAAAATCTTAACCATGGTATTCATGATTAAGTTTTGTCTTAATATGTATAATATGTAAGTCTTCATTTTTATTAATATTGTTTTAATGTTGTGTTTAAGCATCTCGGGGCGACACAGCAGACGACAACAGTGACGACAGCAACCCAGACGATGACTCGAGGTCAGGAGCTGCTCTGAGACTTTCAGCCGAGGCAGGAGGCCTGGAGGTGCGGGAGAGGACTGAGGAGGGAGGGGTCAGTGTGGAGCCACAGCCGGGCAGAGGTAGGCAACAACTCCTGCAATCATCACACACCATATTTATGACATTTAACTGAGTTATAGACTTGGTTTTAGACTTTAATAGAATCCAGAAGATCATCCAATAGAAAGGCAAAAATTTTGATTATTCTCAAAAAATGTTAATTTCTTGTTTTTAGTTTGTCATGTAGTGGACTTATAGTTTAGTGTGCGCATTGAGAAAATATACATTATACTGTATAGTCAGAGCAGAAATTAAAACAATCTGGAATTTACAGAAGCTCTAAGATGGCATGTTTTATCATTACTCTGTTTTCAAGTGACAACACGTACATTTCAATGATGTTCTCTTGATCTCGACTTATTGATGCCGTTACCTCGGGTATCACGGGAGTAAAATAAAATGTGTGGATGCATGTCCTTCATGGGCTTCTGTAGAAATTGTCTTCCACTCATAAATGGAAATTGAAAGGGCAACAGGCTGGTCGTGACATTGAGCTATATTTAAATTTCAGTTTCCATGAACACTTTTAACAGATTTTATGTATTTAAATTAAAAATATGCTTCATATCAGCAACATATACTGATGACTGTTGAAAGAAAAATCAACATTACTGAATATTGGAAAAAAAGTGTAACTTCTAAGAATATTATCATGAAATGGCACAGTTTAACAGAACCTTTAAACATTTAGAGAATATTTTTTTTATGGAGGATGATTTTCTTTCTGTTAAATAATTTTTTTAAATGTGTATTCTTATTACAGATGAGCGGTTGTTTGAAGAGACCAGCAGACAGCTGGTGGCTCTCTTTCAGTACTCGGTTACGGGAGATTCAGCGTACCTGCTGGCTGCACAGCGCCCCCTGATGGACACACAGGACGAGGATGGAGACACGTCAGTAAACGTCATACACACATGTTAAACTTTAGCACCAGGAGTTTTATAAAAACTCTTTTCTTCTTGCCTTCCAATCTTTTCTGTGTGAAAACTTCACAACTGAAATCTGAATAAATAAAACAAATCTAAAGTCTTACTCCTTTGAGCATTATATTGAGCCTTTCTTTTATTTCTCCTCTCAGTGGGCTCCATCTGGCAGTTCTCCACAGTCAGCAGGAGGCGCTGAAGAGTCTGACGCAGGTCGTCTCTGCTTTGCCTGGAGAGGAGGTGCTCAACATGAGGAACCACCTTTACCAGGTACTAAACTACAAAAAAAAATGTTTCAGGAGTTCTTTTGGCTGATGAAGAAGAAAAACTCATTCAGGAAGGTAGACTTGTACAAAGAAGGGAAACTTAAGGAGCAAATTTTGAAGTTAAGATTAAAGGTGAGGAAGCTCCTGTCTTCGAGCAGTAGGAGCGTGGAAATTACCCACTGAGGAAGCAAAAAGCAAATTCTACAGTTACAGTACAAGAAAAATTTGCTTCAGCTGAAACAGAACGCCGGTAGATGGCCCATCAGAGAAATCCTGGTACTGATCCAAGCTAACCGGTCATCAAAATGGGACCTGGTCAGCCTTAAGTAGCTGGAAGTAACAGGAAAGTTCATCCAGACACAGTCCAGAGGATGATATGAACCCAAACAAACAAAAAAACTGCATCGCTTTTGTTAAAGCTAAAGGAGATAATTCTTGCTGGTGAGGTGGCAGGGGCAAGTAGATTTACTAGTTAGGGATTCAAGTGCAAAAAGTTCTGTTTTTAGGGGCAATAAAGATTTTTATTAAGGTTTAAAGAGAAACTAAAAAAGAGTTGAGGCTGAAATCATTTACCAAAAACCAAAGTAGATGAGTTCAAGCTGTGTGTCTGTAAGCCTGTAACCTCTATCTCCGTGTATCCCAGACTCCTTTGCACCTGGCTGTGATCACCCAGCAGAGGGAGGCGGTGGAAGCACTGCTATTGGCCGGCGCCGACCCAACTCTGACAGATCGTCATGGCAACACGGTTCTCCACCTGGCGTCCCAGCTGGAGGACGGAGGGGTGGTTCGTTTTTTACTCCAACATCGAGAGCTGAGAGGACTGCTGGAGCACACCAACACAGCAGGTACACACACACACGCACACACACGCACACACACACACACACGCGCGCACACACACACACACACACAAAGACAGCAACACACACAGTTACTGAATGTTTAACCAGTCTCTGTCTGTTTTCATGGTTACAGGTCTGTGTGCTATCCACCTGGCCGTTCTTTCCAATCAGCTCTCTTCTCTTAGGGAGCTGCTAGAGGGCGGGGCTAACGCCGAGGCTCAGGAGCGTAGTTGTGGACGGACTGCCCTACACCTTGCCACGGAGGCTGAGAATGTGTCTTTGGCCGGCTGCCTACTGCTGGAGGTCAGACAAGGACCAATCAGAGCTCAGAGTGGATACCTTTAACTTACCTGCGACTGTTTAATGTAGGTCAGGTTCGGCTTGTACCTAAAAAGATCTAATGGTGTGTTTATTGTCCTCAGGGTAACGCCAAGGTGGACTGCTGCACCTTTAATGGCTCCACCCCTCTACACATTGCTGCCGGGCGGAGCTCCGTCAAGCTAACAGCTCTCCTGATGGCTGCAGGTACAAGGATCTTCTTCTTCTCTTTTTTTAGTACAGAGCTGGACTCAGGACGTAGTCAGCTTAGCTTAACATAAGCACTGGAGGCGAGGTGAATTATTGAGCTTCAGAGGACTTGAACGAAAGAGCTATACCTACTAGAGTTGTCAGAATACCAGAATTTTTCCACTTGGATATGATTCAAGTTAAAATCACACAACATCAATACCTGTTTAATACCACAGCAACAAAAATAGAAGTCCTAAGCACCCAATATTTTGTATTTTTTGGTTTTGAATTACCAAAAATGACCCTTTAATCCAATTTTTAAGTTAATATTTGTAGAATCAATCTTTCACCTGCTTCCACAACATCATGATCATTAATTAATGATTTCATATTTGAGCTTTCATTCTATGATTTTATCAGAAAGTTAATGCTCCATAATGTTGAATTTTATTTCTAATAGCAGTTTTCTGTTAATATTTGTGTTTCAGGAGCAGACCCTCTCAGGGAGAACTTTGAGCCGCTATTCTTCAGGGAGGAGGACTGCTGTGAGGAGGAAATGGAGAAGGAGGGGGAAGAGGGTGACGATGAAGATGAAGGCTACATCCCAGGAACCACTCCGCTCAACATGACTGCCAACACACAGGTACAGCAGCCAACACGAGCTGCAGCTGCAGAGTTTCTGGGTTCAGTAGTGCACATTTGAGAAGTTTAGTCTCAATGATTTAATTGTAAAAACGATATTAAAATTTCCTTTTAGACCAGTAGGTGACACACAGCCTGACTTTGCTTCTTTTACATCATCAGTTCATTGAAAACCTGCTGTGTCTATTTGTTGATTTGTGTGTGTGTACAGGTGTTGGAGCTTCTGAACGGGAAAGAATACAAACCGCAAACTCTTCAGAGAGACTTTGACCCTCCTCAAGGTGAGTTAACTAAATCATATTCAATTACACAGTAAGGTTTGACAAGGCAGGGTGCACAGAAACAGTTTGTAACAGTGTAAGCTGAGATGCACACAACTCCATTTAATGTGCTTTTGAACCTGCTTCTGTTTTTACACCTTTTATGGTCTAAGGCCTCTTTCACACATGCCCTCCTAAAAATGTTGACATTTAAAAGGACAACAAGGAAATGTTGTACAAAAGAGAAGAGTGCTACGTGTAAGTGAATATAAAGCAGCTTCAATCAACTTGCATAATAGTATGCTCACTGGTCTTTTTGTTTTTGTGTGTACAGGCGACATGTCGAGTCTGGACGTGGAGGTGAAACTGGAAGTGTGTCGCTCTCTAGAGAGTGAAGGATGTTGGGAGAATCTGGCTCACAGTCTAGGTCTTGGGATCCTGAACACAGCCTTCAGACTGAGTCCCTCCCCGGCAAAAACACTGCTGGACAGCTACGAGGTGCGCACACACACACACACACACACACACACACACACACACACACTCATGCTTTCTGTGGGTTAGGGTGTTGTTTTGCTGTGATTGGAGGAGCTGATATATATTTTTTTCCTCCTGCAGGTTTCAGGTGGGACAGTACAGGACCTGCTGGCTGGTCTGAGGTCAGTCGGGGAGAGCCGATCTCTGAGCATCCTGGAGGAGGCGCTGGGTCACCATGACGACCAGGAGACGGTCGGGGCTCTGAGCGTTCAGGTTCAGGAACTGAAGGTGGACGTTCGGATCGACAGCGGGGTTTGTGACAGTGGGGTGGAGCTCTCTACAGCGTGATGACATAATCTCTCCATATCCAGCTTGGTATCCATTTAAACATTGCAACCATCATTCAACCATCATCCATCCATTCATCAATGTCTCCAGGCTGAGCCGTGGTCACTCCTCCACTTTCTGTAGGATTTCAGGGCTAAAAGTTTCCCCACACAAACATTTTAACCTGTTTTTAATTAATAATGTCAAATGTTTGTCTTTTTTTTTTTAACTCAATGTGTAGAAAACATATTTTTGTGTGAAAACTAAACGGGAGAATTTAAGGAGGAACGCTCCTGAAATCCTTCCGATCAGGTTGTTCACACATGCACCTCACAGCGGGAGACTATCCCTGTTGGACAGAAGGGGTGGGGCAGGGGGGGGCTTCTGAGGCAAGACATAACATAAGCAACAGTCCGCTAGACAAAGCTGTAATATGAATGTTTTCCTTTCGTCAATGCTGCGTGTAGTTTGACAGGATCACAGTATCAACAAAAGAGCGGACTAAAACAAACTGGCTAACAGAAAAGATAATGCAGCAGTTTAATTATCTCTCCCACTTACTGGTGAATTCTCATGATTATATCCTGCTGTGTTCTCACGTCAGCTCAATCAGACTTTCTGCGGAAATAAAATACCAGGGGGCTGGCAGGAGAAGCTGTGGATGAAATCCAAGTGAAAAATGTGGCTGTTTGTGTTGACATATGTAGCTCATCCGAAAACTTCAAGGGGCTATCAGAAATTCTGTGCAAGTGTAAAAGGACCATTAGAGGAAAAAAAAACATGTTAATGTTTTTTATCCCACACTACACTCCAACTGTTCAACCAAAGATTGTAGATTCAAAGTTTTGATTCACACTCAAATTATTTTAAAGCAACATTATGTAACTACAACTGTTTCTAACTCTACCAAGAGACCAGGAACTTTTGTGTTTCTATCACAAGATCTACATTTTGAGACAACTTTCAACCCCTGCTCTGGGATAACGTTTGTCACAATACCAGATCTTTAAACTTAAGTATGGTTCTACTGAAAATCAAACAATATTGATCACTTCTTCAGTGGAGGGGGCGACTGTGGCTCAGTGGTCGAGTCAGTCGTCTCTCAACCGTGAGGTCACGAGTTCCAGCTTCTGCAGGAAGCCCATTTTGAAGTGTCCTTTGGCAAGACATTGAACCTCAAATTGCAGCAGTGTGAATGTGTATAAATGGATTAGTTAGTACTGATGGACACTTTACATAGCAGTAAGTGTGTGAATGTGGTGTGAATAGGTAAGTGCGGTGTAAAAGGCGCTCTGAGGAGTCAGAAGACTAGAAAAGCGCTATACAAGCTCAAGTCCATTTACCATTTAGAAAAAATGGACTGATGGTAAATTCCAAAAAATTGAAACTAGCGGTTAGTGTGGAACAAGACCTCCTTTACCTTGCAGCCTTCACGTCTGTAACGTAAACGCCATCAATTCTTTGTATCATCCCAGGGTAGTGCTCGTTTATCTGTTGAGTCTCAGTTCAACAGCAGGATATAATATAGATGTTTTTCAATGTTTGATCCAGAGCAGATAAATCATCAGAATACCACTGATGGGAGCTGGTAATGTTCCACCTGTTTTTTTGTTGTCCACACAGACTGTTTCTCCTATATACATCAAAGCCTGCTAATAAGTAATGGGTACAGCTTTGACTACGAATGTACAGAAACCAGAGCACTTCACATGCTGACAGTCCAGACCCCTGTGTAAAGATTCTAAATCTTTGTGTAGAATATGTAAATACAGATTAATTTGGCTTGAAATGCACCACAAAACATTTTCTGCATCCCCTGGAGCTTGGAAGAATTGTGGAACGATTATAAGGATATGGCTTTTAAGGCATCTTCTCTGTTAAAGAAAGAAGAAAGTTATGAGGGTACTGGACAAAATGAACATCTAACTGGATTTTACTTGTTTGTTAGTATTTTTTTTCTCTCAAGCTACAATCACAAAACATAACTATACATAATGTTGCTTTAAACAAATCACACCACTCAAACATCGAACTTCAGTTTGGCACCACCTCTGAGAACAAATCACCGGTAGAAAAAAAAGGGGGGTTTGGATGTTATTTTATTGATCGGTGGATCAGTTTGAATGTTTTCGTCTGTCGCAGACGTTCAATGTTTGCAGGGGAAAGGTGCTATTAATAAGGAATGATTGTAAAGGAGGCTGACACGCCCTTGATGATTGTTTCCCATCAGTCTAAATGCAATGCCCATCTGTTTAAACATATAATCATTTGGAAATGGTATTATTGTGTTATGACTAAGAATGTGAAACTGTCATTTTAAATTGTGCATGTTTATTTTTTATTTGTTTAGTGTTTTTCTAATTTTAAAGGGCCATTATTTTCTATCTCACTCCTCTTTTTAATTTTGACAGTCAGATGATCTTATTGAACTTGATTTAAAACAATTCTGTCTTCCTCTAAGTCGGGTAACATGAAGCCTAGGTTCATATAAAAATAATTACGTGAGGCATTGTGGGAAAAAAGTCCAGTGTAAATGCAAAGCCTGTGTTTGTCCAAAAGATGATATTTATATCTTTGCCCTGCACTGTACAGTTCAACACCAGATTTTCAATGGCTCCATTGTTGTTTTTTAAATAAAGTGCTTTTTATATTTAACATCTTGTTGTTTGTGTTCTCATTTTTTCTCTTTCTGTTTGAGCCAGAGGAAATTAAGTAAATCGTTTATTATTCAGAGTTTTTATTGCAGAAAAATATGTTTTCTAAGTATTCCAGATTTTCAGGATTGCAAGTAAATGTAATCTCTTTAAAGGCGTTTTAACCACCTTCAAGGTTTATTGAGATTTTTCCTATACATTTCTAGGTAGTAACTTGTTCAAGGTTTTTGTTGAGAAACGTCAACTTTGTTCTGGTAATTTCATAATCTCTCAAAATATTCAGAATTCACATTTTAAAAATCACATCTTTATACTTACAACTGTATTTTCATAAAAATATGACATTTTCTTTGAGAATAAGACAAGTCATAATATAATAATACTAAACATATCTAAATATTGGAAATTTAAATTTCAAAAGCATTTTATGAGATAAATTTGCAATTTTACTTAACAAATATGAGGAAAAAATGTATAGACTTTAATGAAAGCGTTGTGATATTGCCATATTTAAAATAGATAAACCTTCTGTAGGTTATATAGAAGGCAAAAGGTTAGAAAAAAAATGGCTTTATTTACTTTTTTATTTAAAAAAAAATGCATCATTACTCTCGTCAAATAAATACATCTTTTTTTCTTAATTTCAAAATGTATCCTGTAAAATAACTTTCCCCCTTTTTAATATTTGTTTCTTAATTTCAAAATGTATCCTGTAAAATAACTTTCCCCCTTTTTAATATTTTTTCACAGTGGAACTACAAATCAGTCGTGTTTCCTGCCACCATGTTGTTTTTGGGTGTCTTGCGGTGCTTTGAAATCGAATCGGAGTGAGACCTCCTGCTCCCGGTTCCTCTGACAGCTGCTCTGTGTGAAACGGGAAGACATTTTGAGCCGTTGCGGTCGGTCCGGTCCGTTAGTCGTGTGTCAGCCTGAAGTCCGGGCTGACCTGCTGAGAAGTTAGCCTCCACATTGAGCTACAATCGAAGAAAAGACGAGATTTTTAAGAAGTTTAACCGGCGTATGCGCTTGCACAGCTATCTACGTTAACGCATCGAGCTGAACTACAAAAGCTAGCAAAGTCCTAGATGCTAGTTAGTTAGCGTCACCTAGCTGGCCTGCCCTCCTCCTCTTCCTCCTCCTCCTCCTCCTTCTCCTCCTCCTCGACAGCCGGTCCCGTCACGCCGACACAATGGCTTTAAAACGAATCAGCAAGGTAATGAACTATAATTTCTAAACATCTAACGACGACAGAAGTGTAAAGGTTTGTAGTTTAAAGCTGATGTTTGTTAGCCACATCCTGACAGCTAGCAGCGTTAGCTTGTGAACCAGCTGCTTTCAGTGACACAACGATTGACTAAAAAAATGTTAAAATTCCGCTGAGAGGTGCTGCACACTTTCAGTTTTGGTTTAAATGTAATATGTGTGTTGCCTGTTAATGGCTGGTTTCTGTGTTTCTGTGCCCCCCCCCCTCCTCTCCCGTGTCGGCTCTGCACAATAAAACAATGGCTCAGTTTAGCTTTAGCCTGGTTGTCAAACAGGCCTTTAAACTCAAGTGTTGTGTACTTCACTTCTGACCCTTTTTGAGATTTAAATAACTGTGATAGCTGCAGTTTGTTTACCAACACAGACTTGTATTCAGTCCATGTTCAAGTTTTATGTTTTCACTTCACTCTCAGCTATTTTTATCCTGAACTTTCTGCCAAGTTCACCCTGATTAACTTTGATTTTCACCACATACTTCAGGTTTATTAGGTGTGATTTTTCACTGGTGTCACTGACAGGATTTTGCATCAAAATCAAATCAATACAGCCACACACAGCACTCTGCGGAATAGGTTTTGTTAAACAGTTAAAGATGCACATTTGGGAAGTAAATTGTCTCTCCTTATTGTAATCTGTTCTGTTAAATTTACAAATGATCCCTGCACTCATGTTCACTTCATTTGGCTCTCTACTCACCTGTTATATTGTACAGTTTCTGCTTATATGTCTACACTCATGCACTTTAACTTGTGTCAATACTGTCCATTTACAACTCTGTTTTTGCACATTTACATTTAATCTTCCATGTTTAATCTTCCTTTTTAAGACTAGTAATGCTTAGTTAAATCCTGGTTGTATATATTCCCATTCTTAGTTTTTATATTTTTAGTGCGTATTTACTTTGTATTTAATATTATATTGTGTTTAAATTTGCTAATATTGTGTTTTTTGCTCATATTGTGTGTTGGATAACCTGCTGCTGTAACGCCACAATTTCCCAGTTTGTGATCAATGAAGTAATTCTATTCTATTCTATTACACAAGCTGTTGTTTAAAACACAGTAGGGTTGTCACTTGCCACATACCAGAAGTTTAAAATTGAATATGACGCAAGTAAAATCTAACGAGATCAATACGAGACTTTATTTGTACAGCACCTTTCAGACAAATTAAATTGCAGTTCAAAGTGCTTTACAAGAGTGCAGAAAAGTTATTGACAAAAAGTAGTTTATAAATCATTGAGAGACTAATGCACACCAATAAGAATAAAAAAAAATGTATTAAAAGAAAATTAAAGAAAATACGACACATAAAAGCAACAAGATATTAAAAGAAAATAAATGCAAGGAAAATATTTAAAATTGTTGTAGGATAGAAAAGACAATACAGTAATGTTAAGATTTGAATTGATATAAAACACTATATAAAAGCCAGACTGAATAAATTAGTTTTATTTAGTATGACGCAAGTAACGAGAACAACAAAAATAAGTCCTATACATGATACCGGCTAATTTATTGTTTTCCTTTTTTGTTTTCAATGACTGAATTGCACACAAAGAAACAAAGTTTTTATGCAATTTCGACATATTCAGGCGTTTACCTGCAGAGCAGTCAACCGATCCATAAGAACAGATATCGATATCGTTTTTTAAAAGCTTCAGCCCTATAATAACAGATATTGTATTGTTTTAATACACCTGATATAAACAATTATTGAGTACTTCAGATTGCATATTTTGGTAATTTAAAACAAGAAATTGCCCAATATTTGGTGCCCAAGACTTCTATTTTTGTTGACATTGTATCAAACTGGTTATCAATATTGTTTAAATTTTACTTGAATCATAGGAAGTTTAAAAATCTGTTACCGTTACAACTGTAGTTGGTTGATTATATAGCAAAAACTAACGTAAGGAAAGGAACACGGAACGAGTTGTTAAATCTGCAACAAGAAACTGACAGCAAAGTCTATAGGTTTCAAGAACAGCTCAATGATGTGTTTATTTTTTTGAGTCGTCGGGATTACATTTCCAAAAAGTACGTTTACAGAATCGTCATAGGAATATGTTTCTTAGAGTTAGTGTTAAATACAGTATTAAGAATGCATGCGTTTAAAAATAATAATAATAAAAAAGCTGTACAGTTTTTGCATGAATGTGCTAGATTTTACCCAGAGAAATTGCAAAAATATGTAGTTTCCTTAATGATAATTTGCCAGTGTTCCAGTTTGCAGAACCATTATAGAACCATAAGAGGCTTTTTGTCAGATTTTGTTCATGAAGTTCAGTGAAGTTTTGTGTTGCTAAACTCAGCCTGATGAAAGCTACCAAAAATACTTGTATGATTTTAAAAAAGCAAACATGAAATCAAAGAATAATAACGTTAAAGTTATATTCAGAATTTCTCAATGTTTTTAGAAATATTGCAATACGGCCAAATGCAATGTCCAGAAGCTACAGTCTTTTGATAAATGTTACATTTGTTCTCCAGATGTAAGAAAACTTGTTCGTTTCTGACCACGTCAAATGTCACATCATCAGGATTTTGAATCATATTTTCAGTTATAGCAACAATTGTGTTGAGGGAAAACAAAGTCCCACTAATCGTGATATTTAAATCATATTTTTTATTAATACGTTCAATATGATTTTCTTTCCACCCTATGCATTCTTTTAGTTAGTGTGGTGAAAGTTTACCCAGGCTGATGACAACTACATTTGAAGTATGTGGTTATACTAAATAATCATCAATGAGTTGAAATTATTAATTGGAGACAAAGTGGGATTTGAGGTCAAATAACTCTAATGTCAAAATGAAGGTCAAACTGGCAAACCTTTTCTCAGAAGAAGTCAGAAGTTTACCTGTGAATGAGGTGCACAACTTCAGTTTAGTAATCTGATCCACTTTGGATCTATGACCAAACAGAGACTTTCAACATTTAGTTTTTTTAAATGTACCCGGACGCTAGTTTGATACCCAAAGTAGACAGGTTTTAAATTGACGAGCCAAAACTACATTACAAAACCTATTTTTACTCCCTGCTTCACTTACACTGTGGTAAAAACTCCTTTTTTAAATTCCTTTTTTTATTTACACGACAAAACTAATGTATGAGTAGGAATAAAAAAAGTTATTTCAGGTTGAAAAGATGAACCTGTAGATTTGAGTTTTCCTTGTAGTATGTCAATTGTAACTGAAAATAATATTTTGTTAAATGTCACCAATAATATGGGTATTAAAACTCAGGTTAGTCTCTATCCTCTCAGCTGCTTCTGTCACAGTCACTCTCTGAATTCCTGCCCGTTTTCTCGCCTCCTAAACTCAGCCAAACCTGAAAGATGAGCCGTCCAGAGCCTGTATGTCACATACCAACACACAAACACACAGACACACACTCAGGCCCAGTGTCGCTGCAGGGAGACCTGCAAGGCCTGAAACACAAACCTGTCGTTCTATAAGCAGCACTGCTATATCCCGATCTCTCTAACTCTGCTGTCCAGAGTAAAAATAGATCTTTTGCTTACACATCAGTACTGACCGTGTGTCTCAGTCTGTTTCTTGTGCTGCGTTCAAGTCTCAGCTACACAAAGGCTGGCCTTCAAAATAAAATGTCGGTCTTTGGACTATTTATTTGGACTAATGGAGAGCCCTGGTTTCATTAATTAAATGATTGATATGTCTTTTTAATATTTTTCCACAAAACAAATAAATATATAATGTAAAAAAAGACAGAAGTAAAGAGTGAATCCAAACCAGCAGAAACACCTTAGAATTAAAAGAAATCCTTGATTAATAAGTGACATGAATGTCATAAAACAGAAAGAGAATTCCTGATTCCTGGCAACTTGTGATGTGCAGTTTTTGCTTTGTTTTGAATTTTTAACAGACCAGTATCATTGATTTGTTGTTCATTGTTAAAACATTTTTGATGTTAACAGTTGATGCAAAAAAAAGAAGTCATTTTTAATAGTAAAGAAAGATAAAACACATTTTTTATCTATATTTAGCCCTTTGTTTTGTAAGTGACTCAACTGATGAATTTATACTCAAAATAATGTGCGATTGTCTGTGTTCCTAAGGTCAGATATGAAACTACCTTCTAATATAAAATTGAATGCTAACCAATGTTTTAATGCACTGATGCAGTGGTGCCTGCAGGTTCAATTTCATAGTATGCACAAGAACTATTCCAGAGCGTGCATGACTAATCAGACCCAAACCTTTCTTTGTACTGGGCTGTAAACATTTTAAATTCTGCTGTAAAAACAGTTATTTTTGAGTGGGGTGTGGGTGTGACTTCCAGGTCTCTTTGAACCAACCTCAAGCGGACACTCGCGGAACTGCAGTCTCTTGCATTTCCGCATTGGCTTCATTTTTCAACAACAGAGGTTGCTGCTTGGTGACGCCCCAAGGACACCTTACTATTCATCAAAGAAATGTAGTGTTATCTCAAGAAAGTTCAAAGCAAAAACACAACCAAAGAAAGAAAACAAATTTGTTGTTGCATGGTTGTCCCATAGGAAGGCTGGAACAAACTGTACTGGCAGAGGATGAAATAAAGGTTTTTACTGACCCCAGTATAAGATAGAATAAGGAGGTTCCTTTTAGCTGCAAATCATTTAAAGCTACAATTTAAAATTCACTACTGACAACACGGAAAGTGAAAATTAGTATAATATGGGATCTTTATAAACAACCGCCTGCTAAATATTTGGAGCACTGACTGTAGTATTATCATTGAAACTATTCCATAGGAACGTGAAGTAAAAGTCCGTATCAAGCTTGAATCTAGCCTTAAACATATTTAGTTTGAGTCCTATTTTTGGTCACAGGTCAAAACAATGGCTAGATTTAGATTTAAAAGCCACTCTTATTTCTTAGAGTGAAATCTTTAACATAACAGGATTATAAGATTAAAACATTTCCCAACAGCAGGACGAACCTGTTTTTTACAAGTGAAGCAGTATAAAAGGTCAGGTTAGCACACAGGTTAGAAACAAGTCTTCAAGTACTCTTAAGGATTGTGTCTGAGCTGATCTGATAGAGACAAAGTCTTATTTAAAGTTTGATTCAGAGCCTGCCAACGTGAAACCTGACAACACTGACCTCCTCGGTTAGTGGGTCGACTATTTTCAAGTTCTGACATGTTGGATAAAAACTGCATCACACATACAGACGGCACAAAGGTCAGAGAGAGACATGGCCTTTTTTTTTTTATAAAAGTACAACAACCACAACAAGAGATCAGTCAGATTTATATTTATTTATGTTGAACTGGTCAGAAGTTATCTCAGGTCTAGACTTCTCTGTCTGCATATTTCAGCTCTTGTTGCTGGACTTTTATGTTGTTGCACAAACTACTTCTGCAAAATCCTCTCACTTCCACTTCTACTTTGTTTTGTCCCTCATTCACTGGCTCAAACAGAACTTCTTCATGTCTTTATCCTCTTCATCTTTCACATGTATGTTGTGTTTGTATCATATCAGATTTATTGGTCTTGCAGCTGCTGAAAGGAGAAAACTTTCCTGCCGTGATCATGAAGGGTGATAAATGTGGGACTGTTTGTGTCCTACATGTTGTCATCCACTTAATCTCAAGTCAACACAACACAAAGTGAACGCCCTGTGTGATCAGTCAGTCTTTGATACCTCTCATACCCTGGTCGATACAGTTTAAAGACCGTTCAAAGAGAGAGTTGGACGTTTTTTTTTATAGTCATTGTATAACCTAGAAAACCCACAAAAACTGGATTTCAATATAAATGTTGGTATATTTTGAATATTTTCACCACTGCACGTTGCTTAAAGAAGCTTTTCCTTTCGCACTGTAATTTTTTACCAAACAACTTCTGAATTCCTACCAAGACTTTCAACATTTTCAATATTTCAGATACTTTTCTACACCACACGTTTTAAAGCTTGAAAATCTTTATAATTTTATTGACCACTGATGAACAGACAGCAGCTAAGGCGTTTTGACGGATTGAACGTGTGTTGGCCACGTGTGATCTCCATAGTATCTGCATGATGGTCTTTTGTTAAGCTGGACCAGATTTTCTTGATGTTCTTCATATTGAAATAATAAAAACCTGTGAATTTCATCTGTAAAAAACAACAACACACCAACATGATATTATCTATCGTTTGTGTTTTACATTGGACACATTTTCTGGTGCCATACATATTTTATGATTAATTTAGTTGAGTTGTTTTGTTACAGCTTAAACAAAAATACCAGTCATTTTTTTCATGGTCTAAGTATGGTCCAGTTTGTTCATTGAGGAAACCCCTTGTCAAATGTTTTATGCCCCCTTCTTTCACAAACCATAAAAACCCCAAAATGTTTCAGCTATTTTGACTAGCAGTTCTGTTGTTGTTCTCATAGGACACTGACAACAGCATGACTGCAGAAAATAAATGTTGTTTAGAGGAAATACTGTATAGATTCAATACTAATTTTGCTAATTTAAAGGTCTCGTTCTCTTTTGAAACTCTGTAATCCAATCCCAAAACTAAGTAATTGGCCCTGCGTTTTGGTTAGTCTTGCCAACTCTATCCATAAATATGCACCTTACTGAAAACTGAGGTTAGTGAAAGCTTCCCTCTCTTCAAAACTTTAACAGGTGTTTGTGATAGTAGTCGGTGATGATTTTTTTCCCTTTCTTCAATCAGATAGTTCAGTTAGTTCAGAGCTGTTGAAGGAAGTAGCTAAGTGTGTCACAAACAGGAAACAGACCAGCTGAACAAAATGCAAAACACACAACCACAGCTGACACACCTGACGCACATCACAAATGATTTGTATAAACACAAAAAATCTTCCAGACAGGAAAAGACTGAAAATGATCAAAAAGTTGTGATGTAACTTCTTATTTCCCTTACTACTTGGAATTCAACCTTTTGAAGGGGATGCTGATCAGAACACATACATTTTTTTTATTTTTTTTAATTTCCTTTCATAAATTTTTCTAATTGTGAGTCCTTTTGTCTTCTTCCTGTGTTTTCAGGAATTAACCGATCTGTCCAGAGATCCTCCGGCTCAGTGCTCTGCCGGGCCCGTCGGTGAAGACAGTAAGATGAGTTATTTAAACCACCAATATAAACAACGACACAACCTGACTGTCACCTTGTCTGTCTGTTTATTTAGACCTGACAAAGACTAAGTATGATTCATGAACAACCTGTTTTTTAATTATTATTTTCATTATTTTTCAGTGTTTCATTGGCAAGCTACTATTATGGGGCCGGTAAGTATCCAACTGCTCTTACATTGATGTTTCTAAAGAATAAATACACTCTGACACTTTCAGAAAACAAATCCCACCAGAGAGGAAACAGCATGGGAATTCCATTTATAACTGCAATGGCAAATTATTCTGCTTACCTTATAGTATATATCACAGTAAGAATCTCAGGCCAAAGACACGTACCTGAGTTTTATTCTGATTATCACAAAAATCACACCAAATTCCCATCGCCATCATCCTAACAAACATAGCTTTTCACACTGGGCCTGAGTGAACCTTGAATCACAGCATCAGTGTTTCCCACAGGATCTACATTTAAATATATCACATACAGTATGGTCAAAATATTCGATACTTTAAAATACCACATGTTTTAAAACGATACAATATCCTTTAGTTTTACATTCGATAGTACATAATCAGTTGTATTTTCAACCAAAAAGAGAACTAAGTAGAGTCACTACAACCTAACATTTAAAAAAAAGCAGCTTTCTGAGGAAGTTACATTTCAAAGAAGCTAATTGAAACCATCATCTGAGTTTCCTCTTGTTCTAAAACAGTTTTGACAGAACATTTCATCTGTAGTCATGAGTGAAAATAAAAGTACATTTCTAACCCGTGTCCTCTCTGTGTGTTACCTGCTGCAGCCTGACAGTCCCTATCAGGGCGGAGTTTTTTTCCTGACTATACATTTCCCTACAGATTATCCCTTCAAACCACCCAAGGTCAGTACTCGTAACATCTCCTGAACAGAGCATTTTTAACCTAAATGTTGTTTGTATTTATTTCAAGTTTAAACAATTGTATCTTGTGTTTCACTATTTCACTGTCATCTTTTAAGAAAGAATTTTACCTTACACAGATCTTTTCACTTCATTATTGCTTTTTTTTTTGCTTTTCTAATTCGCTTTAGTTATTCTGAGATTGTTCTTCTTTTTTCCTCTCGTTGCTGTTTTTAGTTTTTAGTTCCCCTCCTCTCTGTTATGTTTTTCATTTTAGCGTCCTCTTGGCTTTTCTTCCTATCTAGTGTTCCTCACATGTTGTCCCAAACTTCTGTCAGCCGTGTTCAAGTTCTAGTTTATTACCGATCCCTGATTTTTTGCTTTGTTTGTCAAAGCACTTAATAAACTCTGGCGTTTAAAGTGCTCAATAAATAAGGTTATTAATATACTGTAATCTATCTAGCATGGTGACCTGATAAACTTTATTAGAATGTCTCCTATCCTCAGGTTTCAGATAGATTTAGTGTTTAAGATCATATTTAGGTGTCAGTTTGATACTAACAACTTTTTTTATTGTTATACATTTAAACTGTTGTTGTTTTTGGAAATAGAGAAAGAAGCTGTAACATGTCGAGTGAACTCTGCCATAAACCAGTCGTGTTCTTGTCTTCCATCAGGTCGCCTTCACAACAAGAATTTATCACCCAAATATTAACAGTAATGGCAGCATCTGCTTGGATATATTGAGATCACAGTGGTCTCCAGCATTAACTATCTCTAAAGGTAAGAAATACACTGTGTGTGGGGTAAAGATAATTCAGAATTTAACCTCATTTAACTGTCAGTAACTGCAGATGTTTGACAAAGTTCTCTTTTTAATTGTTCCATCAATATGTTCCTGAGATTGACATTAGTCTTTTGGTTTGTTTTGTACTTAAAAGGCAAATTCCAACTATTCAGTCTGATTTAAAATGTGCACTTCAATCCTCATGTTGTGTTAGACCTTTCATCATTCGCTACTGTGTTAGGTTATGTATTAAGAAATCTCTTTGTCAGCTAACAACCACTAGATAGTGCTGCTGGCCAAGAGAAATGATTTTATGGCTTCATCTTTCAGAAACTGAAGTACTTTTTTCACAGGTTTTTATTATTTATATAATCAAATGTGCAGGAATTTTCACATGTGATAAACTAAAACTCTCTGAGCTGACTGATGGTAGACATAAGATTAAATCAGTCAAACTGGTGAAAATACAGCTTGATATGTTGGCATGCTGTAAAAAAGAGTTGCTTAACAGTGGACCTTCTGTTCTCTCCACAGTCCTTTTGTCCATTTGTTCTCTGTTATGTGACCCGAACCCTGACGACCCGCTAGTGCCAGAGATCGCCCGCATCTACAAAACAGACCCCACCAAGTGAGTTCATGTTTTTAAAATATTAAAACTACAATACCCATAAAAAATATGAATCTACCAAACAGACCCCACCAAGTGAGTTCATGTTTGTAAATATAAAACTACAATACCCATAAAAAATATGAATCTACCAAACAGACCCCACCAAGTGAGTTCATGTTTTTAAAATATTAAAACTACAATACCCATAAAAAATATGAATCTACCAAACAGACCCCACCAAGTGAGTTCATGTTTGTAAATATTAAAACTACAATACCCATAAAAAATATGAATCTACCAAACAGACCCCACCAAGTGAGTTCATGTTTTTAAAATATTAAAACTACAATACCCATCAAAAATATGAATCTACTTAACAGACCCCACCAAGTGAGTTCATTATTTACAAAACAACAACAGTAGACCCCACGATACTTAGGGCCACTGGAAAAAAACATTTTTTTTAGTTCTATATATTATTTCTCAGTGAGTGAAAAGTCTGAACTGACAAAAATCTTTTTTTCAGTATCCCTTATCGTTTTCCGTAGCTATCTTAAAAATAAAAACAGAAACCTGTTCTATACAGCGATTATGAAATAACAGGGATTTTTCCCTGAACCTAACAGTGCCGACTTTTTCCTTGGCCAGTGTTTGATTTTACTCAAAATGTTTCCCAGATTAAAAGAGGATAAAATACAAAACCATCCTAGTTTACAGGAGGATTTATAACACTCTGGACCGTTTCTCAATATCTTATTCTTTGGGCTCTACCTTTTTTTCCTTCTCTCTCTGAATCTCCTTTTCCATATTTATCCCTCCTCAGTCTTCTGTCTGCTTCTTTAACTCCTTTTCTTCTTTTCTGCTCCTGTTTTCTTTTATTTTCCCCACCCTTCTTTGTTTCTCCTCCTCCCTCTTCTCCCTGTCCTTCATCTTCTTCTCCTTATCTTTTCCTTCCTCCTCCTCCTCTTCCCCCTTCCTCTGATGTTTGGACACAAATCTTAAGCCTCAGATCTGCTGCAGAACTCTTGAAATTATGAAACAAGTTTTACAAGTTTTTATCTGTATAACTTGAAAGCATAAATAGCTTCACATCAGCGCCTGCGCCTAAGTTGTAATAGGGGGGTTTCTAACCTGTGAACTTGTCCTGCCGGTTGGTCTCAGGTATAACAGACTAGCCAGGGAGTGGACAGAGAAATATGCCATGCTGTGAGGGTAAGAGCTCAGCTGCCTGCTGGATGTTCTGTCAGCAACATGTGGATGTAAAACTGAAGCACGTTGATGCAAAGCATGGCTCCAAATATGAAGTCACAGTCTGAGCTCCTGTAAAGAACTGCTGCTGTTTGATGTTGTAGTGTTTGACTAAAATGTAGAAAACCTTTGACAGCCCTGACTGCTGTTCATCAACAAATAAATCACAAATACAGAGACTACTTTTGACTGTGAACATGTTTACGAAATGTTTGAAACCAGTGGTCAGTGGTGAAAAAGAACCTGCACTGGGTTGCAGCAGCTCTGTGTAAGTAGAAAAGGTAGTCTAGTTTGAACATGTTTTCTTATTTAGGACGGAGTTTACACTCTACTAACATTCAAGGTGTTGAACCAAATCTTACACCTAGCTCCTAGTAGATGTAAAGTCCTCTGAAAATACAGTTGTCATGGTGATGGTTTTAAAGGGTGGGATAACTTGGAGGAGCTGATTGGTTTACCAGCTGCTAGGCTACCGCAGTGTGTTCACCATGATAGACTACGTCCCTCAGAAATGTATGAGGACTTTGATTTTACTCCTGCTTTAGTTTTCCAGGAGCGGAGATCATTTCATATGTCCAATAATGAAAAGCTGTGAAATGATCTTGTGTTTTAGTTGACGATTTCACCGCTGGATTCAGTAGATTGTTCTGGAGTTATTTTACTCTAGCTGTCTGTTTGGAGACAATACGACACAAGAATAAACACACAACAAACTCTGCATTAAGAAAAAGGCTTCTCACTGTTTGGTCACATCAAGTTAAAACATCATTTCTGAAACAATATTTTAATTAGTTTGGACGTAACGCTCTACTAGTAAAGATAAACCTTGTGTTTCTGAGGTAACCAAACAATGACACAACCTAAGCTACAAATGAACTAGTTTCCACGTAGTGTTTAGTGTTGGCTTTACACCACAACTGCTCACACAGGACAGTGAAATTCTACCCATGGACTCTACTGAAGTTCAAATAAAACCTACTTGTACTTGACAGTTTTTCCATTTGATGCAATGTTGTAGCTCAGTACAATTCAGTGACACGTATTGTACTCAAACACTTCTTCAAATCTGGCACAGATATATATTTTTGAATGTGATTGTATTAATAGAGCAAAGTGAAAAATCGACGGGCTGACCACAAACATCGTAAGGTTGAAAAAGAAAATGGATATCAATACAGTTAAAGTCAAAATGAACATTAAAAATATGTTGAGGGTTTAATAGAATTCAACATGTTCCTTGGGGCAGAGGAGATCAGGGTTTGGTTTGGGCTTAAAGCTGGCAGCAGTGAAGGGATGAAGTGTGTATATTGAACATGTCTGAGATAATTAAATCCTTTAATGATGATTGTGAAAGCTTTGTTATGTGCTTTTCAAAACTTTAATACCTTTTGAATTCAGAGGCCAAAAGTCTTTGCAAAAGGTTTAGTGTGATTCAGTAAAGGACCAGCAGATGGCAGTGTCTGTTAGATATTCTTCGGTTATATGAACCTCTTAAAAACTTGTTGTGGTGTGATCACTCCTGCTGAATGTTAACATAGTTGTGCCTTAAAAAAAATATTTTCAATCTGACAGATTATCCTCTGCACTAGCTGAAAATGAACTGCAAACAATCACACGGCAATGATTAAGTTTAGATTAAAAAGCCTTTATTTATAAAGGGAGAGGTGACAGAGCACTTAAAAACTGAAACTCAACACCGTGATGTCAACAAGGTGTCTGTTTCCTGATTGTGAAATGTGTGTTTTCAGCACTGAGCGTGTGTGTTTTCAGGCATGGCATCGTCCTGCTCTCTGTTCACCTGCTGACCCAGCTAACTCACCTGGGTGTGTGTGTGTGTGTGTTTGTGTGTGCAGGTACAACAGGACAGCTCAGGAATGGACTCAGAAATATGCCATGTGATGGTCCTCACTGCTGGAACAAACTCTTTGATTTTCTCCTCCTCCTCATCAGCCAATAACAGCAATTTGTTCATGTTTCTGTTCGTCCTCTTCCTCACCTTTAAACGCTTTTAAATTCTTTGTTTGCCCTTTTCCTGCTTTCTCAAAAGATAATAAATTAAACAAAATGAGGGCCGAGGACTCTGAGCTGTGAATGTGCCAACTGAAAAAAAGAAAACAAAAAAAAACACCACACAAACCGAAGAGGACTCAGTCAGACCTGAGCGGACGGAGAACTGTTACAATAAATAATGAGAATAATTTAATGCATGTCAGTGATTGGTTCATGTGCTGCTGAGATCTGTCCAATTTTTAAAGAAATTAAAAGAAGACAGCTTTTTGGTTTTATTCAGTTTTTCTTGTTGTTTTTTTGTTTTTAGACGAGAGAGCCGTTAGTTCATCCATCATCCACACACTGTTCTCCTCTTTTTGCACTGAAGATGAAACTCAAAGCTCTCAATGGCTGATTGATCAACTAATAGCTCTGTGATGTTTTCTTTTCTCAATAAAGTTGAACAAATTGCAGTTTCCACTGTTTCTTTTTTTTCTTTTTGCTTATTTGCATTTTTGTCTGCAGCTTGAGACTGAAAATAATTTTAAAAATATTTTTACATTGGTGCAATAGCGTGACAAACTGGTGACATACATGACAAATGAGACAAAAAACCCCCAGAAAATAAAGTAAACAACAACAAAATTATATAGAAGTGGGAAAAAAAGGGAAGAAAAAAGAGATTAAAAATCTTTTAATGCAGTTGTTCCCATGCAGTGTAAATTTAAAAAATACTTTAAACATAAAGATGAACACAGCTGTGTGTTAGTGCTGAAGTCTTTACATGGACAGTACTTTTACTATGGCGACACTGTTTGATACAATGGCTGAGACGGAAGAGGACAGGACGGATGAAGTTAAGAAGAGAAGAAGCAGAGTGTACATCCCTGCAGATATTTATTATGACAGATGTGATGTAACGTTGGGCGGTACTGTCATCAGTGTCGTCTCACGTTTAGCAGCTTCACAGGGGCAGAAGTCTGACACAATTACGTCTCAGGCTTGCATAAAAAAAAATCCATCTTCTGTCAAAAGTTGTCTCTTTAACGGCCTGTAGACTGTAGCAGTGCACCAAACCGCACACATACATAATATTGCTTTAAGGTGCTGCAGTAATAAAAAAAAAAAGTGTAAAAAGTTATAAGATTACTTATCAGTATGTCCTTGGTTATGGAGAAATTCATTTCTATCAGTTTTTTAGAGTCAATTTAAAATAAACTTTCTTCAAATATACTGTAGATAAAATATCTCTCACAAATCTGATTATTTGCTCAAGAGCCCCAAACTCAGTCTAATCTTCTGAGTTCTCAAAATGTCATAAATAAGAAGTGAAGCCTTTAATGTTCTAAACTTGTATCCTCTCAAAAATCAAACAAGGAGCGACTCTAGTGGAATTTAGTGGATCTAGTGGATTTTATGGAAAATAATGTGACATGGTATGATTTAAACGTTTATTCCACGCTGTGTTAACCCCTTGAGGGCTAAGGCATTTTCCCCAATTTTTTAACACATTGTGTCCTGTAAAAAGGCATGTATAATGATAATAATAATAAGAATAATAATAATAATAATACATTAGACTTTAATAGTGCTTTTCTGATGCTAAAAAAATAAAAAAATCAGTTGAATAATAATCTCACCTGAGTAATGCACAACCATGTAATATACTGTACATCTATTTTTTTAAAGACAACCTTGGAAATCAGAATATGTATCCCCTGAGGATGTCAGCTGAAGTTCCACATAGTTAATACACCATAAATACAAAAGAAAAATAAAAGCAAAAATATATGTTGATGTATAGCCAGAAATAAAAAGTTAAACAAGCACTATGACATTTGGACTCCTAAATTTGTTCTCCTATGTCCTCGTGATCAGGGGAAGTGTAATAAACACTGTAGATATCACAGATCAAAAACCCAAGCTATTTATTAGAGAAATTAACCAGATGATTTTTGTTTAAAGTGTCAATTTGGCCATTACTGTAAGACATGCGCTTCTGCTGTGACTCAGAGGATCATATCACCTTTTGATATCTCCCTCTGGATGGTCAAAGTTATTAATGCAAAGGTCAATCTACACACCACACTATAGCTGTTTTGTAAAAAAAAACCCAAAAAACAGCACATATCTACGGCAATCATTCTATGGCAAGCCGTTCAGGAAATTAATATATTGAATGAAACTTTGAATATATTGAACGGAGTCTGAATATATTGAATGGAAGTCCATAGTGTTATTTCAGCTTCCATCTCAGTAAGAGACTAAAAAAATCCCTAAAGATGGATGAACAAAGTGCGCTCAGCAATGTTTTGTTGATCATTACTACTCATAAGCAGCAAAATTGTTCCTATAATTGAACTATGATCTTCAAGGTGAAGCTTTCTACATTCAAAATTATTCATATGATTTTGAGTACAACCAGCAACTTTTCAAAAAAGTTTTGACGTTCAACAAAGTATTGGTATATTTCAGCTGATGTCATTTTGCAAAACCAGCATATTCAGCAGGGTGTCTTTGGGATGACAACAATGAAACTGGTGGATTTGGAGAATTGAAATCAGCTTCAATTCAATATATTCAAAGTTTCATTCCATATATTCAAAGTTTAATTCAATATATTCAGACTTCATTCAATATATTCAAAGTTTCATTCAATATATTTAAAGTTTCATTCAATATATTCAAAGTTTCATAAAATATATTTAAAGTTTCATTCCATATATTCAGACTTCATTCAATATATTCAAAGTTTCATTCAGTATATTCAAAGTTTCATTCCATATATTCAGACTTCATTCAATATATTCAAAGTTTCATTCAGTATATTCAAAGTTTCATTCCATATATTCAGACTTAATTCAATATATTCAAAGTTTCATTCAATATATTTAAAGTTTCATTCCATATATTCAGACTTCATTCAATATATTCAAAGTTTCATTCAATATATTTAAAGTTTCATTCAATATATTCAAAGTTTCATAAAATATATTTAAAGTTTCATTCCATATATTCAGACTTCATTCAATATATTCAAAGTTTCATTCAGTATATTCAAAGTTTCATTCCATATATTCAGACTTAATTCAATATATTCAAAGTTTCATTCAATATATTTAAAGTTTCATTCCATATATTCAGACTTCATTCCATATATTCAAAGTTTCATTCAATATATTTAAAGTTTCATTCAATATATTCAAAGTTTCATTCAATATATTTAAAGTTTCATTCAATATATTCAAAGTTTCATTCAATATAATAAAAGTTTCAATCCATATATTCAAAGTTTCATTCAATATATTCAGACTTCATTCAGTATATTCAAAGTTTCATTCAATATAATAAAAGTTTCAATCCATATATTCAAAGTTTCATTCAATATATTCAAAGTTTCATTCCATATATTCAAAGTTTCATTCAATATATTCAAAGTTTCATCCAATATTTTCAAAGTTTCATTCCATATATTCAGACTTAATTCAATATATTCAAAGTTTCATTCAATATATTTAAAGTTTCATTCCATATATTCAGACTTCATTCCATATATTCAAAGTTTCATTCAATATATTTAAAGTTTCATTCAATATATTCAAAGTTTCATTCAATATATTTAAAGTTTCATTCAATATATTCAAAGTTTCATTCAATATATTCAAAGTTTCATTCAGTATATTCAAAGTTTCATTCAATATAATTAAAGTTTCATTCCATATATTCAAAGTTTCATTCAATATATTTAAAGTTTCATTCCATATATTCAGACTTCATTCCATATATTCAAAGTTTCATTCAATATATTTAAAGTTTCATTCCATATATTCAAAGTTTCATTCAATATATTCAGACTTCATTCAGTATATTCAAAGTTTAATTCAATATAATTAAAGTTTCATTCCATATATTCAAAGTTTCATTCAATATATTTAAAGTTTCATTCCATATATTCAGACTTCATTCCATATATTCAAAGTTTCATTCAATATATTCAAAGTTTCATTCAATATATTCAAAGTTTCATTCAATATATTCAGACTTCATTCAGTATATTCAAAGTTTCATTCAATATAATTAAAGTTTCATTCCATATATTCAAAGTTTCATTCAATATATTCAAAGTTTCATTCAATATATTTAAAGTTTCATTCCATATATTCAAAGTTTCATTCAATATATTCAAAGTTTCATTCAATATATTCAAAGTTTCATTCAATATATTCAAAGTTTCATTCAATATATTCAGACTTCATTCCATATATTCAAAGTTTCATTCAATATATTCAAAGTTTCATTCCATATATTCAAAGTTTCATTCAATATATTCAGACTTCTTCAATATTTTCAAAGTTTCATCCAATATATTAATTTCCTAAACGGCTTGCCATACATATCAGTTGATACTAGAATAAGCTGAATTGGTTTGATTCATTCAGAACAGTTCTATCTCTTGTACTTCTGTGCTGTGACGTCGTTTAGTTAAAAATGGGAATGACGCCGAGACGTGCCATGGCACAGGGAAGTGCCACTTAAGAAATGTCAATCAATCCGCGGAAAGTAGTCTGGTTTGATATGACGTGTTTCCTGTGGGAAAATGTGTAAGAAGACGAAAACAGCAGAAGAAAGGTTAAAGTTGTAAACAACAACAAAAAAAACAACTGCACGCTATGACAGAGAAATCTACAGAACTGGAGATGACACATGAAGTAAACACTGAGCGTGGGATGGGATACATGATGGAGATTACAGATGGTGCATGGAAAATAATATGTAAGCAGATGAGAGAGAAAAACTACAAAAGGTGTTTGGTGTGTGAATCGGTTCAGTTTGAGTAATAACAGATAGTTTAGCTCATGTTAAGAAGGCCACAGAGTTACCACGGTGATCTATTCTCAGTGCGAATAACTTTGAGTTGGTACTATACGAATGTAGCCTGCTGTTGTGCCTCATTGATTAATCTTTTTTTCTTTTTGTTTTTATATGTTTGACTGTTTTGTACAAAGATGACCAGAGCAGCTGATTGTAACAAGAGACAGAAGACGTGAAGTGAAATCACTGACAGACACCTTTACTCAAGTTTTCAGGTATTCAAGAATCACAGACATAAAAATAATTTTAGCAAACTAAAAGTAGTTACCTGTAGACTGGTTTGTTAATGTATTATCTTGTTGGAATCATTTAATTATATTTTACTAATTAAAGGTCAGACAAAGAGGCTGTTACATTGTGATACTGAGGTGTAAAGGGCAGCTTTGACCACTAGATGGAGCTCTTTACCTTTAGTTAAACAATGATATCCTGTGGACTCTCTTCCACTTATTTTATCCATATTTGGTGCATACAGGTAGCTTGTTACTTTTACTTATAACTAGCTGAGTGAAGATTGAATACAGTAGATTCTCGATTACTGAAATATTTTTCTCTAAATGTTTTTTTTCCCAACTGCATTTAACATCACACGCAGAGAAAG